GAATTTAATAACAAAACTTTATTTTTACAAAAAAAATGTTAATTAAGTATTATGGATTTTTTTTTAATTTTTATAAGAACTATTAGATAAAAGCCCCAATATAGAAGTTAGATTAGGTTAGGTTATGAAGTTATTTTAGCATTTTTGTACAAGTTTCGTCTACCAAGTATCGATGTCTATTTTATGCGAAGTTATCCATATCGTGTAATTACATAATATAAAAAATATGAAGTTTCGTTTTGTGAACTGTATGCATTTCCTATCTATTTCAAGAAACGGATAAAAACAGAAAATATTAATACAACAAATTCATAAATAATATGAACGTATTTAAAATTTGCTTAAAAATACTATTTTTTAATTTTTTTATCTAACTACTTAAAGCCGGGTTGAGGTTATTTATTTGATGAAAGAACATTTTATAATAATTTTAATATTAAGTTACATTGTAACTTAAAGTAAATATTAATAATTGATAAATATTTTATTTTAATGAAAAAAACCATTTTTAAGGGTTTTTATTATTGATACCTATATATCTATGTTTTATTGACTCAGAAATTACTAGATTTTGAATTATAGCATGGAGAATTTTAATCATTAGAGAAAAAATATGTACTTTTATTGAAAATACCTATATTATATTTTTGACATTAAAATAATACCGAAATCTTAGATAATATCTTATATTTGTATAAAATATATTTTTTGAACTAGAAATTTAGTAAAAATAAAAATGTATATTTTTATCAAAAGTGATTTCAGCAAATAAAATTCATGAAATAATTATCATAATATAAAAAATTTTAATCATAGAAATAAATGCTATACTATCTATCTGCTTTGCTGAAACTTGTTTTTTTTTTAGGTTTATAACAACTTATTATTGATTTAAAATTGAACACATTTATTACAGTATTACACTGACCTAGTAAATTATAAGGTACACTTGAAACGTATTATATACATCTAAAAAAATAATATGGGTACTATGTATATAGTATATCTATAAATTATAAATTAATGACAACTATTAACTTTCAAAAAATATTACAAAATATTCAATCATGATAATTTACTCAAAAATTAAAATAACAGTGTATGACGTTATATTATATATATATATAATAACATAACAATAACATAACGTTAAAAAATTATTGAAATAGTTATTTTAGAGGTAACTATGGAGTGTCTGCAATGTTGCAATATTCTAATAACTTGGGTAAATATATTTATCAATATTTTTCATTTATACAAATTGATTTATTGTCTTTAATTACAAATATAATGTTTAAGAACTTAATCACTTAATAAAGATAAATTTAATTTACACAAATGCATTATTACTAATTCAACGATAGTAAGTAAAATACAATTAATTTATAGTTCTATATTATGCGCACGTGTACAAATAGTTCATAATGATAATGTTGAAAATATAGCCACAAAGTAGATAGTAAAGCAAGTACATTTTTCTTATCTCTATAAAAAAATAAAATAAAACAACTTAAAAATATGTTGTATTACAATACACATTTGGTTAAAATCACAAATTTCTATGGTTATTTGTTTTTGAACAACAATAAAAAGAGTAATAATTATTCTACGAGTGAATATCCAATTAAAACGGTAATAAAAATAATTTTCTGGTAATAACTTTTTTTTTTTTTATTAAAAGTATCAACAAATTTTAACTAAATCCAGTTTTAAACCAAAAACTACTCTCAAAATTGAGAATTGAACCATTTTTACTATCCAAATGAGCTTAAAGTGCTAGATCTCAGGTTGGGTTAGCATGAAAGCCAGTTTCGGTACGCTCATCAGAAAGAGAGAACCCCGTTACTACGTAAAAGAATGGAGCGTCACTTATGTAAAAATTCGAGGTGTTCATCAATCCCCGTCACACACAATCTTGTTCAGATAGGGTTGATAAATAAAAAAAAACATACTTTATAGAAAAATCAGTACATTTGTAGCTCCGCTCAGAATATGAAAATTGGCAATTAAGATAATCATGATAATAGTACTAAACAAATTAGTTAAAAAATCCAACACGTGATTAAGAATTTTAAATAATATTAAATATATGTTTATTGCTTAAATGAGGTACATAGATATTAATTGATGATCAAATATTTAGAATCAATAACTTAATATTTAATTCTTCCAATTATTATTTATGAATTGGATAAATTAAATGTTTTCATCAAAAATGAGTTCAACCTACCGCAATACTAATAGTAAAATAAATTATTTTATTCGAAATATTAAAAAGATATTGTTATTTACCTAAACTCATCCTAATATAAAACTGCCGGACCGTCTTCGCTAAGAATCAATTTTGTATGCAATAATTAAATTTAAATATCTACTGTATAATTTGAGAATAGATGATTAATACTAAAACAAAAAAAAAAGTAAGTGACACAATTTTAAATATTTAAATTTATAAAAAGAAATTATATAAAAGTGTACAGGTATATACAAAAACTGGTAGATATAGATTATTTATTCAGAATTTTTAATACATTAAAATGTAACCTCTATTTAACAAAATCAATAATTATTTGAGAAAAATTTGTTAAGTAAAAATGTTATTAAAAAAAATATATTTTTTAAATTCATATTTAGTACATAAAGTGTATAAAAATAAATTATTTAATATCAAAAAATTATATTTAAATGATATTAACATTTTTATAATAAAATTGTTTATGTTTTATTTTTGAAAAACATTTAGGTATTCTGTTGAGCAACATTTGTACCATTTTGACTATAAAAATTATCACACTTATTTAATCATTTTTTATTAACAAATGTATACTTTATATGCATAGACAATGTTTTTTTTTTTTTTTTTTTTTTTAATTTATTGTAGAAAAATATCAAAAATAAATTTATAAAAATGGAAATTGTTAAAATTTTTTCGTTAAGTAGAAACGTTTTCGAATGAAAATAATTCGGTGTATTGAGAAAATCGTTTTATAGAAGTTTCATATTATTTCATTTTAAACAATCTGTGCAATAATTATATAAATATTTTTTAATAATAATAAGCATTAAACAGATCCTAAGGATGAGATAAAACAAAAGTTCTGTTCATACTTAAATAACTAATTTTATATTTTTATATAAAATAAATATGGTAATACTTTAATACACTGTTCAAATATTTAATTAATATTAAAAAAATATTTAAATAATACACAAGTATATTGATAGTAATTAATTTTAGTAAATGAAAATAATAAAAGAAATGATACAATATAGAACTTAATAATATATAACTTCTTACATTTATTAAAAAAAAGTATTATTTCTATATAAATACTAAAATGTATTGAGGTAAATTGTTTTATAGACTTACAAATTACTCATAATAAATTCATCTCAGAATATCATCCACCTATTATTTTTACAGACTACAAATTCTTGGATTTGAAGTTTTTCTACAATGTCTTTTTATATGGATAACAAAATCAAAGACTCAAGTCTTTTCTGTATCATTGTTATTTTTTATTTAATTTTTACTTACAATTTTCAGAGAAGGTTGAGGGGGCAAACGCCCCCTTTGCTCCCTTCGTAATTACGACACTGTATAAGTGCTACAATCCTAAACTTTTATAATCAGGTACTCTTGATTTTTTTTTAATATACTCGAGTTAAGAAAGATTAATTAAATTTATACTATTTAATTAAAATTCTTAAAAAAATATATCTGAAAAATATAAGAATAAAATACTGACAATTTTTATGTTAGTACAGTAATTAAATTTTAAAACAATCAATATTGCAATTAATGGATATTTATTACTAATATTGTTTGAGTTATAATCGAGGAGACAAGTACGTATATCCATGTAAAATTCTCAAAATCAAAGTATTGGATGTTTTATTTAAAATTGTATAATATTTAACTAAGTGTTTACTGATTAATTAAGAACATTTGCCATTAAACTTTAGCTACGCATGAATATATGTAACAAAAACCTTCAAATATATTCTAAAAATAAAATGTTGTATAAATGTACATTAAAAATTTATTTAAATATAAAATTATTTACAAAGTACACAGACTATCATTTTTTTTTTTAGTTATTCAAATTTTGGTTATTGGATTTTAAGATTTATTAAAAAACAGTAATTTTTTAAAACAAAGAATACATATGTTAAGTAATTTAATTAGATAAACTGATCCATCTTATATTTTTAAGAAATCTACAGTAATTAATATTAAACAATTAACCTTTTATAATTTTTAAATATTTCTTAAATATAGTAATGATTATAAACTGTCTATATTAAACATAACTTACAACCTAACTTATGTAAAACATTTTCTGAGAATAATTATTTTTAATACACATTATTATATTAAAGTTACTCAGAAATTTCTTGTCTGAATAACTAACAAGATTTAAGAACTCTAATAGAAAATCAGATGGTGAAATCGGAATGATTATTGGCACGATTGTCGTAAATATAACAATAAAAAAATAATATATTCAACAATTATTATTAAAAACCGGCGCTGATTCACAGCCTAAGTTTGTCGAAGAAAAAGTATAAATACCAACTTTTAGTCGCATCCGTTGACTTGATATATTTTAATTACATTTTGTCGTTAATTTTTAATACTAATATATAGTTGAATGCTGGTAATCATAATCGAGGATATTATGGATAGGCATAACCCAGGAAAAATGTACTCGGGATAAGTTAAATTTAGTATCACACTGTAAAAAAAAAAAACAAAAAAATAAAAATACTATCAAATTGACATAATAAATATATAATAATAAAATTTTTATAACACATTGTTAATGATAATTTTTATTATAATGTATCTATAGACAGGATTATTACATTAAGCATAATTAAGTGATTAAATTCATAAATATATTATCCTTTGTTATTTTTTTTCGATTAAACACATTGAATACACTCATATAAATACTGAATATTTTTCATGGCAATACAGTTATTGGAATATTTCACAATTACATACAGCTTACAGTTGGCTTAATAATTGTTTTTTTTTAAACATTCATTAATATATTGTTATATTACACCATAATTCTAATTGTGTGAATCATTATTGGATTTAACTGCCTTGTAATTTTTGTGAGTTTAAAATGTAATATACATTATATAGTTTGTTTAAAAATTTTTGAATAAGTGATAAAAATAAATTGTATTACTTTAAGTAATATGTAACTTAATAGACTTAATTTTAAAAATTAAAACAATATTTTTTGACCCAATAATTTTATTTTTTAAAAAACAATGTTAATTTAAAAAAATACGAATATTTAAAAATCATAATTTATAAATTAAAAGAAATTAGAGTATTGAAATTTAGAAAGTAATAAATAAATAATGATCATATTCCAAAATATTCCATAATATGACCCCTATTCTTTCAAAGCTACACTTCCGTTTTTCTGTATATAAATGTAATAATATGTATGTAATAGAATAATAGTATATATTTTATTTTTTCAGGACCTTTATTATATTTCGAGGCAAAATGAGGTCATTTGATGTGCTGTTGCTATTGGTGATAGCATATACATGCGTTACAGTGAACGGTCTATATTTTCGAGTCAACAAATCGATTGAAAGTAATTGGTGGTCGAACACAATAATGTATCAAGTGTATCCAAGATCGTTTAAAGACAGTAACAAAGATGGTATAGGTGACTTAAAAGGTATTACACAGAAACTAGATCATTTTACAGATCTTAATATAGAGACACTATGGATTGGTCCAATATTCAAATCACCTATGGATGATATGGGATATGATGTAGAAGACTTTAGAATGATAGACCCAGTATATGGTACAATGGACG